GTGCAGGATCTTATCAATATAACCAATGATCTTGTTGCTATAAAACTGAAGCCATGATGTATAACAATGAATTTTTATTTTGATGAGGTATGTTGATCTATGGACAAAACGGCCTGTAAATCAGAAATCCCATTAAGCATTTTAAAAGTAAACAATGGTGGGAACAAACCAACCAAAGGAGACAGGATGACTCAGTTACTGAAGAGTACATGCTATTCTACTCTTCTTTCATAAACACATCAGGCCACCATTACTGAGTGGCGAAAGTGTATGCCTTCAACCTACCCCTCTGCATCCCTCTACCAAGCTACCGAAACCAAACACCATCAAGCATTAATGCAATTTAATAGGAAGCAAGTGATCCATTGGAACTGGATAGCTTAAGAAAGGGTTGAGCCAAAAATGACCCTCAGAGGTGGACAATCCTGAAGTCATGGATAAGGTGTTAAAAAAGGCAAAAGAGGATATCCCAAAGATAACCCTCATGAGGATGCTTCTGTGTTTTGTCCCGAGAACTTCATATTAATTATATCCTTATGTTCAAAGCAGTTTGTTGTGAAAGGTCAGTTGAGACACACTCCCACATACATACCTTTCTCTCTCCTGTTCGGATGATTGTCATAAATACCTGACTGCTATGCCTGCTATATGATTACCTCTCCTAAGCCTCTAAGGGGAGTCCGCAACTACACCAAAACCAGTAAATAGCTGAAATAGATGTTAGAGAACTATCTGGAGAAACTAATTGTGAGCTGCCAAAATGAATGCAAAATCTGTTCACATATGGTTTCACTTGACTAGGAACAATTAATACATGGAGGTCATGAACAATTAGTTATTTCTTGTTAAATACACTTAAAAGTACATACCTGACTTTTAAAACTTTTAACTGGCTTAGTTGCATGATTTGCATTTGAGTATGAGTTGCATTTGACTGACACTTTTTACATTAAAAAAGAAAAAATCAGTCTGAAGCAGTATGAGAAGCTGAAGTTTAGTATGCTGTGTTGGAACTACAGGAATTTGAAAGCAAAGTATTTTCAAGCAATAAACCATGGAGCTCTGCAGCAAACAGAACCTAGAGATTTTTCAAAAAGCATGTAACATATGATGATAACTTCTATAATCATATATATCACAGTCAACACCTTGTCAAACAAGAGAGGTAGAAATGTGCATTCATTAGTTGAACTGGCCTTATGTGCAACTTTTCAGCCAACTAACTCAAGGACACTAATTCAAGATCTTGCAATTCAAAACAACTTACTTGCGTTCTGCTACTATTTACTCTTTAATCTTCACATAGATACTTCACGTTAATATGTTTGTGCTTTAATGCGCTTTAAGATATGTACTTAAGACAATCTTAAATAGACTCATTTTCCAGTAAGTAGCAGTAGCTCTATGTTTGGAATTCCCTTAACGGACAGTCCCGTAAAAATTGGTACAAACCCTGAGTGAAGAAACCTGAAACTTTAAAGAAAGTATAGATAACTGCTATCAAAATCACTTTGCCAGAAAGGTAAAACAATAAAATAAAATTTAACAGTATGAAATCATTCTTAGATTTAAACTATTACTAAAATGCAGCTTCATTTATACTCACTTTTCTCATGCATTCATATTTAATATTTTAATACGTGCACATATAATGCTTCTCAAGCCTATCATTCATGGATGAGTCATCTAGAATTAAGCCATCCCAAAAAAATCAAGATATATCTCCCTTAATTAACCTAGTTTAAGTTAGTTCACAAAGGGACACTCGATCTTCTCATCTCTCATGAGCAGATTCAGCGTTCCCTCAAGAGCGAATACTAAAACAATGCTGTGACACCACATAAAGAAGTTCAGGTTGCTTCAGCTGAACTCGCATCCATTTGCATTCACTGCCATAAACATGCTAGCAAACGCAATCAGTGTTCTGAAGTGACAATAGGGTTGGTCTTAGCTAGCATTTTGTCCATTAATCGAACAGTAATCTTAGAAAAATTTCTTAAATTACATTTTCTTGGTTTTAAAGGGTATATTTTTTTCCATTAAGTTAGAAGAACGACGCAGATGGAAATAAATTTCAGCATGCAAGCACGGTGCAAAGTAACGAAGCAGGACAAGAAGTTGGTCTAGTATGCTTTTGCTAAAACATGTTCTGAAGCATTAAAGGAAACTCCATGAATGACAGTAACTGTGAAAGAACTAGCATAAAAGGAACATTACAGATGTCCAAGTTGGCTTGAAAAGGTTCTGAACCATGCTGTGATAAAATGCTAGTGGCAGCAAACAAACAGCTAAAGATCTCATACTTTTGCTTTCTGCCACCCATAGTTCTCAACAGGAGACAGCACAGCGGTAGGAGACTCCAGGATGCATCTAACGTAAATGAGGTACTTGTAAAACCTAAGCATATTTTTATCTTTGCCCCAGCTGGTATAAACACTTACTTGATCTTTATACTGTTTGCCATATGTCTGTCTCTGTTTATACATGTATCAGTGGCATGTGTTTCTGTGCAGTTTCATTTACAGTGGCATGAACATTATTATTAGAGTCCTATATATTGCCTATTTTCCAGAACACACGAGTCAATCTTCCCTCCTCAAAGGCTTCAGCAGGCAGACTGATGCTGAGGACCCTCTCTGCCCAGGAATCTATTCATTAAAAGAAGGAAAGAAAATTCAGACAGATCAGTTTGTAAGTGTTCTTCAGAAAGATGGAGACATTTGAGGGAAGAGATGCAACTCAAACATTCAATTAGCTCATCTATTTCACCTATCCATCTGTTCCCCCCACTTTCCAATTCACTTTCCCTCTTTTTATTTGGCTTCTCTTCGCTCTCCTCCATGCCCCCTCCCCCCCCCCCCAAAAAAATAAAAAGATGCTCAGACCTGTCCATCTTTCATTTCAGTGCATAGCTCAGGTTACTCAGTCTTGACCCAGGTGAAGGGTTCCCCCAACACCGCCAAAATAGGTAAATACATGAAATGACATGAAATGCAAAACTGTTAAATCAATGCAATTCCAACAATCTTAGCGTTCACACAAAATACCAGCAAGACGATTTCCTCCCTCTTCCCAAATTCCACACGTTGTCATGTGGGCACAGTGGCCTTCATTTAGGAAGAACTAGGCACTTACCTTGCATTTTTGTGGCTCACTTCCCTAAAATAGAGTTAATTTTGATTAACTGAGTGTTGTACGCTAGCACATATTCCATTTGAACAAACCTGGTGCTCAGCAGCTGTTGGTATGATTTCCATAAACAGTCTGCGCAAGCTCTGTCTCCTTCAAGGGAAAGAACTGTGCTTGGGAGTTGCTCTTCCATATACATAGAGATCATATTTACACACGTTTGCTACTGCTAAGAACACCCAAGTTACTCCTCATTTTATTAGTGTGTTTTTTCCCCTATATAACTGGCTCCAAACTCATATGAAAAACACATTAGAGATCAGACAGATTCAGTGAACGATAACGCTTTATTTTAGGAGAGCTGCAATTAAATTATTTTAAAATGTAAATTTAAAGAATTTTAATTTCACTTAAAAATTCCATCCATTAACCTACCCTGCAGCTGGTAATAGACAAAGGGATATTTTAGGAAGAAAACCCTGACTACGTTACATCAAAGCTTACATACTTTATAGACTAAGAAAGACTGTTCCAAAACAATTGTTGAACTCATAGGGAAAGCTGCCCTCCTCACCTTTCTTATAGGCAACAGTGAGCTTTAATGGGCTACTAAACTAATATACAACTGATTTTTTATTGGCTATAGAAGTTACAAGTCTGTTAATAACCAATATATACCACTGAAGAGATTCACAAGTTATCAGTAAGTCAAATGAACTATAACATAAGTATTAACTTATGAGTCACTAAGACTTCCAGGCATGAGTTGCAGATGAAGTGAGGTTTTTTTTTTCAGGTGCACATTTTCTCTCACGATACATATATTATTGAATCCGCTTTATTCGGCTTCTATTTTGACATACTATCATAATGCTGAGTAGCAGACACTTCAGAGGTTGTGTTCATTTCAGACCTCTAGTCCAGTAAATTTCACAGTAAACAATATACATACATACACATATATACACACACACACAAAAAACATATGCATATATATATAAGATTTGCAAATGAATTTTGAAGCCTGGTAGATTAAATTATAATGGAGGTGTGAAAAAACAGCTCCCTTTATAAGGAAAAAACAAAAAGTAGATGCTGTCAGTATTAGTAGGATTAAAATGAGTTGCATCAGCTCAGGCTTGCTCTCTATAGCTTTATAGAAGTGTACTTCCTGCTTCCTAATAGCTAGGCTTAAAATAAAAAAAACTAAGTGTACACATTTGCTTTATTTGCAAATGCGGCATACTACATATGGCTCCGTGAAGAGGTGACTTGACTTTGTGCTTTATTTTGGTAGATTTTTTTGGATAATCGAGTTCCAGAATACTTAAGCCTCATTCTGCCATTTGCATTTTATGGCGCTGTAGTTAAGCAAAGCATTAAATACTTACTTATGTCCTCATTTGGATCCTGGGGCTACCATAACTTTCTCCAACTGCTACAGATGACCAAGTACTGAAAGCAAACAGGGACTCCTTCTGCCCAGATTCCCTCTACTGTAACCACGTTATTCTACCAATGAGACAGAGAGAGAGACCAGGAAGAGGAACATTTCTGTCAGTTCTACGCTGCACAAAGATCCATCTCTGCATTGGAGTCACTTCCTACAAACAGACTTGTAACTTCTACAGCTAAAAACTTATCATTTTATTACAGCGTGTCCAAATGGAGCCAGAGAGACTGACAAGTCCGTATCTATTTGAAACTCAAACCTAAAATCAAACAATTGCTTCAGTAAAATAACGTTCCACTCCTTTATATTTAGAAAATCGCATCAGGAGTCCTTGAAAATACCTTCGTAGTACTGCTGAAACTTTCCTGTTATTAAACTGGCAAAAGCATTAAGTGAAAGAGTCAGAATTAGGTAGTACTTTTTTTTTTTTTTTGGAAAGGGGGGGGGGGAAGAAAAGGATGTTTTTGTTCTGGTAACCTGAGCTGGTGGGCAGAAGTTACGTACAAAAAAACGTGTAACACAACACCATGCAGTTGCAGAAGATTGCTACAATAATAGACATAATAGCAATTATTTTGAAACAAGAAACTTAGAGAAGACATTTATTATAATAAATGTGACTCAATCTCAGACTCAACAGCAAAAAATGATAAAATTCCATCAAGCACTGAGGTGCACTATCCTGAAATTAACTGGAAGTTAAAATTAATACACAGAGAACAATAGTGAGACCAAATTAGTACGTAGGGCCAAGCACTAGAGGGCAGCCTAGACCTTCCACCGGCTGGTTGGGCTAGGAGAACCAAATTCGCAGTCCCACTCTCAATGCTAACCTCGACTTCCACCCTCCTCTACTTGTAACAACTCCAAACGCCACACGTGAACGCATCAGCAAGACCAGGAGCGCAGCTCTTAATAACACCACATTTCTCACTACAGCAGTCATTTCTAAAGACCCTTTTCTATGAGATTAAAACTCCTAAACGCGTACACCACCTTGCATATGTTTTGTGGCTTTCTCCCCCAACCGCAACATCACAAAATATTTTCTAAGAGACATTGTTTATTATTGCTCTTTAAGAGGGGGAAGTTAAGCCCAGAGTAGTGATGAAACACAGGAAAATGCAAAACCAGTAGCAGAATTATACAACTCCTCATCACATCCTTCAATCTAAGTATTTATTATATAAACTTTGTCAATGGACTATAACAAGCAACTTACTCAGTTTAGTTACGGTATAAAAAATAAACCAGTAATTTCAGGCCAACTGGTAAGTAAAGCCAAATAGCAAAGAAAGCTCATACACAGACAGGTAAATAGAACTATTTTCATAGATTTATTTGAAAAATACTTACAAAAGCAAGTATGTTTGACACTAAAATAGTTAAACTTATTCTGTGTTTACATGGGTATAATTAAGCGTGCAGCATTAACAGTCTTTTCTGTTTGAAGCATTGTTAGGTTGCCTTAAGGAAGTGGGGAAATTTCTGGTTTACTGATGAACAGTGTCTCCCTACCACTTCCTCAGTAGCAACTACAGCTGTGATCTCTGCCCAAGATCTCAGCACACTGAAAATTAGGTTCACCTCACTCACTGCCAGCCTGGCAAATGTACATTTATCAGAACCTAGAAGGCAGGTCAGTTTTTTTCCCCTAGTAAGGAACAGAAGGGAGGAAGGAGAGAAAGAAAAAAAAAAAGGACTGGCTTTGTATACAAAGAATTTACCAAAGCTACATTTCACGAAAGAGTCCTTAAAAATGTCCTTTTGGCCATCCTCCTTCAAAATGTGTGCATACTTCTGAACTTACCCGTAACCAATGCCCCTTAACCTTATCTTTCCTCTAGCACTTTTTTGCTAAGAGAGGCTGGGATTAGTATAGCTAAGATTCCCCATCCAGACAGCAGTTTAGTAGTGTCAGAAAGAAATACAGTGCAATTAGTTTCCACATACTATATAGCTACATTTTAAGACAAAACCGGCACAGATAACAACTGACGAAGTTTGCTGTCTCCTAACCATCTACACCCAGGCAACAGCTAAAGTCTGTTCACAGGGGGATTTACCAGGGTGCGTGGATCCTGATAGGAGGGATCTCACCAGCCGTTGTTCTGCATGGTGCCAGCAGCTGCCGCTCGGGCCAGCATATTTCTGTGTGCCTCTGAAGCAGAAGAAAAAGTCCCATCCATCCTATGAACTGGCAGTGTTCGCCTTCTGCCAGGCTGAGGGGTATAGCTGTTCTGTCGCCAGTCTTCCTCTGGGGGCATGTCAACTCTCCTTGGACCTGGAGCCTTAGTACAAGAGGGGGGCACAGGACAACCTTGAGGGGCACCAGGATCCCAAGAAGGCTCACGTGGTATTCTTAAAGTGCTGTAGTCTGTGCTGGGTGGCGGCCTGCAACTGACAGTATAAGATTCATGCATCTGACGTTGTGAGGGCTGCTGGAGGAAGCCTTCCTGTAAACTCTTGGCTGGCTGGTCAGCGTACCCCGCCCAGCGCGTCGTTCGTTTATCTGGCAAGGTGGCTTTTTGCCTGGCAGTGTAGCTCATGTTCAGCCAGCGGCCAGTGACACTTGATGCTCCACCACCTAAATGCGGATTAACAAGAGGCCTTTGCCCATGGGAAAGGGTGCCTTTGGGCGCACAAGGTAGACTCCCATAGCTCAGTGCCACACCTGGGTAGTCTTCACCTTGGAAAGCTTCACCCCTGTCAGGCACAACCAAAAGTTTCTGGATGATGTTCTTCTGATCTCCTGGGTTCAGGGAGGGGGGAGGGGGAGAGAAAGGAGGGGGAAAAAAAGAAAAAAAAAAAAGAAAAAGAAAAAGATTTGCTCAGCTATGTTTTATTTATTGCTGTTTCCTCTCAGAACTTTCAACTGTGGCCCACAGGTAATAGAAAAAACTAAACTAAATCACTAGTACTTCAAATGACTGGTTGACATGCAATTCTAGCGTTCATTTTTCTCTCTGCGTTTCCTCCTTGCCCTACGCTACAGCTACTGACACAGACTTCACAGGACAAAAGATTTCTTTAGTAGCAATCTTTCTTGTGTCATCAAGAAGGAACACAACAAAATAATTCAAAGCTGGTAGATCAAATTGGTTTTGACGGCTTTCACAGGGAAAATAATTCTCATGCAGGAATTAGTTATTTCTATCAGTAAACTATGTGCGCGATTCGCTGGAATTAGTCGCTTGTAGAAGGATTCTTATACATAACTACATAGTGGGTTTTACTGCTACTTGTACACAGAAGAAAGAACCTCAAAAACATGAACGTGATTTTATATTAAAAAAAAAATCATGTTTCCATAAAGATTGTTCCCTTCTGTTATGTCCACTTAGCACAGCATCACTGAACATCTCAAAAGGGACAGAGAAGGCGGAAGAGAACATGATACATCCTTCCAAATTTCTGGAGGAATTCAGGCAGATAATGAAACATCATTAAGAAAGACAAGACCTGTAGAGCCATATTTCGGCAATATTTCTGATCACGAAGGAGGATGAAAAGACCTGTGATTACCTGAGGGTTTACGTGCCTTGCCCACCATGCTGGGCATCAGTACATCATGGGGTAGGTGTTGCACCTGGTTTGGGTTGTGCTGGGGATCAAAGGGAAACACAGGAGGATCATGGGGGAAAGGAAGGGAAGTGGAGCTGGAAGAACGGTAGCTGGTTTCCACTGGCATTTTCCTCATGTTTGGTGCTTCCTTTTACAAAATGAGAAAGGAGAAGAAAAACACATAAAATGATGAGTAAACACAAAGTTGGGTTGAATCAAGCAACGATAGTGGTGATACAAGGAAAGGGATGAGTCACCGGAACAAAAACATGCATCTGGATATCAGAAAACAAGCAGCTCTAGCCTTCCAATCAGGCTCTCACTGCAGTGGTGAGCTACTTAGAAGGATCACTTCAACTGACTGGAAATATGCCAAGGAAAAGAAAGCCATGAAGGTTTGCTTCACGTTGGCACATTAACAAACAAGTCAAACAAACAAACGTGAGCCCAGAGACTAATTTGAACGGTAACGACAGAGAGCCATCCTACCAGTAGTCTCTGCTGTGGGGATAAAAACCTTCCACAGAGGGATCAGTGCCCAGGTAGAGGTTTTAACTTACTTCTGCCCCTGCTTCCAAGCACAGGTCAAAGCCCCCTCAGTGAAGGTGTACAAAGGAGCAAAGATTACATATTCAAGTTTACATACTCCTGGCTCATGGCACTCGGAACAGTTAGAAATTCATCAACCAGTATGAGTAATTGATTTTGCAACTCATACCGTTCTATGTTTATTATGCAGTTGGTCTCGAATCAAATCTTAAGCACAGTAAAAGACTAAATCCAAGGCAAGCCTTTGTATTAAGATCTGGTTACGTTGCTAAACACCAACAATAATCCATTACTATTTTCCTCACTGGCAGTTTTAACTTACACCTAAAACCGCTTAACAAAGATAACACAGGAAAATCCATTTCTCTGTCTTTAGTTGCTTCCTGTATGTAATTGGCAGCATCATGTCTCATTACTTAACGTATCTTCCCTTTATGCTTACTTTTCCTTGCTAAAAATGTCACTTGCCGACTATACCCGCAAGAGAGCAGAAACTTTCACAGGACTACTGTAATCTCTTTTTAAGGTTACAGGTATATTAGGAAAAATAACTAAGTCAACTGAAAAAAAAAGTTTTTACTGGATGTCTTTGTATGCTGGCAAGTAATAGTAGCTTGCATGCTCATTAGCTGCAACTGGTACAACTCTGCAATGACTCCTGAAGGAGACGTTATTTAAATAAAAGCTTGTTGTTCTTCCAAAAAGAGAGCAAAAAATCCACAAAGATGTCATCATCTTCCATTATCTTGCTTATTATCCTGTTGTCTGCTGTCTTGTTTATTTATTAGCTACTATACTAAAGGCAGGCAGAGAAAACAGGAATGCTAGATGCACCTGATGGCTCTCTGGAAAACCGCTTATCATTCTACTTACAAAACTGTGAGAAGAGACCAAGGTCTCTTCTCTGTTTGTGATGACTGTCCCACTGAGACTGCGAGCGATGCGACGGAAATTCTCTGCACTATACATCTCCTCCTCTTCTGGTTTTCTATGTTCTCTGGTATACATGACCTGCAGACAAAAATCAAACATTTCAGAAAAGGTCTCTCTGTAATATCAATTCTGTATAGTAACCATCAAGAAGAGAGCAACATAAATCTAATGAACTATTTAGGCTGCAGCGAAATTCTACGACCTCTTCTTTTCTGAAGCCCTTCCTTCAGGTCTTAGCTCAGAGCGAGAGAAACTAGCAGTAGCTAGAAACTTTTTGTTTTTTCTGACCAAGGAATACTACCATCCAACTACAGACTCCAGCAAATTAAATCCTAGTCCTTCAAAAAAATGTAGTGACATGGTCAACAAAAGAAAAAGAAAATACCAGTTCCACTGCAGGTGGTAGTAATATCAAGTAGTTTAAAAGTTGCAATGCATAACAGTTCATGATAATACGTTTGAAAAGACTTAGACCTTAAAGTTTTCAGGGGTGCATGACATTAAAGTCAGAACTTGGATAATTTTATTGCATGCAAGTTGTATGTAGCATGAGTCACTCATGTTTTAGCTAATTAATCCTGAGCTAGACCGCACTTAAAAATCTCTCTGAAATTAACATCAATGGCCCTACTGCCTTTTTACAACGTATCCCACTTCTCCCATTGTAAATTCTTTCACTTGCACAGTCTAAGCCCTTCCCTCCCTAGCACGCCTTAGTGAAGTGTTGTCACCTCGGAGACAGAAGAGACACTGGATCCATACAGACTGCGCTCGATCTCTGCTGTTGGGGTTTTCGAAAGACCCATGCCAGCCCCAGCATGCAGCTTCTTCACGTTTAGGTTTGCAGAGACTGGGAAAGAAATAAAATGGTATGGTTAAATTCCAGGCCTGAAAGCATATTATGATTACAATTTTATCTGTCTTAGGTCTGATTCAGGTAAAGAAAGACTATATACACAAAATGAGCAGTAATTAGAGATTCTTTTAACATCAACACACAAGCTAACTCCCAGAATCCCCTAGCAGGGGAAGTCCCTCAGGATACTCACTCTCATCTCACTCCCCTCTATGCAGGATTCTACGGAATAGTTACTGAACTTATAACAGAGGTAAGCTACTTGGGGTAAACAAGACACCATCTTTAAGTCTCACCCCGCCACAAACTCATCTGCTTCTTCCCATCCAATGCTGCAGTTTATCAGCCATTTGTTGGGCTGGTTACCTATGTGAAAGTGTTATTTTTAATGAAGATGACTACAGTTACTTCATTTCAGTGCAATCCCACAGCCAGTATTAAACCTGACAAGTCTCAGGGAATATACAGGCAGATCAGTGACCTTAAAATTAAAAAAAAAAAAAAAAAATTCGTCACAGGGAATCTATCTACAAATAAAGAAAAGTTGAGGTGCTGATAGTACATTTTCTGCATTGAGGTGGTGTTTGGAGGACCATCTCTTTGGGCCTTTATCCCCTGGCGTAAATCTCCAGTAACAGAACGGTGGCATTTTCACCGTGATTTTGAATACAAAGGTCCGACAAAAATAGTTGCTATGGGGCAGAAAGCTTAAGAGACGTTTGCACATCAACAGCTAATCCAAGACAAAAGTGAGAAAGAGCTGTCCCAGATCCACTCAGGTAAATTTCATCCAGTTCATTACAGCAGATGAATTGGATCAAATCAAGATCCAATCAAATTTTTAATAAAGTCACACCAAACCAGAAGTAAAGAACTCACACAGAACTTAACTTTAGCAGAGTATCTGTATCTCATCCCTCAGATATGAGGTGGGACAACAGGAGAGAGAAGCGTTAACGTAAGAAATACAGAATTTGATGACAGAACTCTTTAGCTTCAGTTAACACTAAAGCAACTGCACTTTATCCTGTTAGATTTCTAGAAAGAGGTCCAAAATCAGTATGCTAAGGAGGAACACCTAGAGACTTTCTGATCCAAGCCCATACAAGAGAGTCCCAGTGATGTCAGATCTTGCCTAATCCTGAAAGGAAACCAAAGATCCAGAATGGAAAATGACCTTCTTAGGATGTGTTATCTGCTCTGCCAGGATAGCGTAAGACAAGAGAATTTCATAGAGTATTAGAGCTGCTGAATAAAACCTGTTCAAAAAGAGCTTACTGCCAATATTCCCTCTGGTCACAGCCTAGCTTCATCTGTCAGAAAAGATGGAGGCTCCACCCCCCGGGGTGCAGGGCAGGGGAAAACCTGCCTTGTATGTATATTGTAATACATACATCAGTTTGGTACCCATACAATTTTGGGCAGCCTTGTACTTGACCAGAAAATCTGTAGCTCTAATGCAATGGCATGGAGCCTAGAGAACTTTTGTTTCACTTGTGCTGAGCAGAGAATCAATGTTGTCCTACCTCAGGCAGCAGATTAGGTCAGCTTAAGCGGAACCAGACCGCTAGCATCAGGCTCTGACCGACTGGGTGGCTCCAGCAGTGTCAGAGCTGTTCTCACCAAGAGCAATGGAATTTTCCAGAAGTAAAAGTAGCAAAAAAACAGGTTCAGCTCTAACAGATCTGGAAACGCTTCAAAAGTTATTCTAGGCAGAGATCAAATTCTCACATATTAATCGGTTAAAATTCACAAATTTGGAGAACATTCATTTTGGACATAATAGCTTAATAAATTCCAGAGGTGATGTAGGACCTTCAGCCAAAATTCAGTAGTCTTGGTCTAAACAGCTAGTTCCCTGCTCAAAAATAGGATCAATTATTCCTTTGCCATTCTACAGATATTTTCTGTTTGCTAAGATCAGTGACTACTCTGCAGCCTCCCTATAGCCTGTACTATGACAAGTGCTTCTCTATCTTTATGGTCAGAAAGTTTTCAGAATCTGCCACCTGCATCTTTCTGCATCTGTGTACAAATTCATGCCCGTTTAACTAAACTGATTGGAAAATATACCTTCACCTAATCGTGGTGTATGCAGGCAGGGCAACCAAGAAAAACAGCTGCAGAATTCTTACCTGATTGGTCAAACGGATACCTAGCACTGTCCTGTCTTCCCAAGAGAGGCCTAGCGGCCTGAGATGCCTGCAGACTAGTCTGATAGAGGGATTCCAGTTCTGAGAGCTCCTGTTCTGTGTCTTGATTCCACTGTGGATGCAGGTGTACTGGGATCCTGCTCAAGTCATCTCCAGCTGCTCTCTGATCAGAAAGGGATGGAGTCCTCCCAGGTACAGGAAGCCATTCAGTATTCTTATTATCCTTCTGAGAACTGTAATACCTAGTAACGTTATTCACCCAACGGTCCACAGGCATAGAGGCAACCATGCTACTAGTAGCTCCATCATCCCCCTCTTTCATTCCTCCATCATGATAGTGCCTTTCCATGTAGGGTGCAGGGTCCGCTATATTCTGTCCACCTCTTCTACACAGCTCTTCACTGTGAGGACAAAGACTCTTAGAAGCAACGAGATGGGCACTAAAACCCTCCAAAGAAACTACCTCGTCCCTAATATCCACAGAAGAGTGCAATTTTTCAGAAGACTGGTTTCTGTTCTCTTGGCCTTGATGGATTAGTTGTCTGTAACCAGGGGGTGAAGGGTTGATGAAAGATTTTTGTATGAGATTTGCAGACTTCTCTTCCTGACACACTGCAGCGATCCAGCCTTTTCCATGAGTACCTTTCCTCTGGGAGCCTGCATGCATTTTCTGAAACTGCTCTGCCAAGGAGCGAACATGTCCCTTTGTACTAAAAGCCTCAGATTTGCAGCCTTTTGCTGTGCCATATTCATCCTGTGAAGGTAATAAAATCTCATGGCTGTTTGCTCTGGAGTACTGATTTGTTTTCTGTAAAGGATCCAGGGAGCACTGCAGTGAAGGGGATGAAGTTGTAGGGGTCATTGCGTGATAGCCCCCTAAATGATCAATGCTGGCCCGTACTGGAGAGCTTGAAAGTTTGGAACAAGGACTGTGCTGGCCATCTTTTTCAGGAGATGCTGCTTGTGGTGGATGTGGACAGGGAGACAGAGTAGGCAAAGACCCAGAGTTTCCTGTGTTAGCCTTGGGTTTGAACTGCGGTGTGAGAATAGCTGTTATGTTATGAACCTCTTCTAACTTGCTGCTAGTGCAGCACTCCCTATAGTCTTTTGGCCCTGTGGCTGCAGTCTCAACGAACTCCACACTATGGTGGGCATCATTCTCAGTTCTCGCAGACCTCTCTGCCAACCCTTGCCTATAGGGAAAAGAGGGAACTTGGTCATGAAAATCGGCAGAAGCAGACTGGAACTTTGGAGAGGTCCTGTTGGATGGACTGCTTTCAGAAGGGGGCAAGGAAGAAGACTCTGGATATAATGATGAGTGCAATTCATGGCAGGAAGCAGATGGGTGGAAGAAAGAACTGGACCCAAATTCCACTTCTTTGTTGGGTTCCAGTGGTACCTCCTGGCTCAGCAGTACTTGGAGCGGGCCAGTCTGTTCACTAAAACACACAGAAGGGTAAATGATTAGAGGTAGGCATTGCTTACATTTACCCCTAGGATGCAGAACTTCCACTATGTGACCTACACCTCAACACACTTTCCTTCATCTAATTGGATTCTGGAGGACTTTGTATTAATTTAACAGATACATACATGTTATTCCTTTGTGTCCAAGTCTAATTTTCTACTATAACTGATCTGTTGAATCTATTTCTTATTTTTTTTTTAAGAGTATAAAGAGTACATTATAAACACGCTCTTTATAAACTTCCAGTATTCCTGTATAGCACCCTAGGCACTTTAACCAGCAGCCTGAGTGTGTGGACAGTAATAATCTTAAGAATAATAAAAACAGCATTTATATAAAATAAAACTACCCTTTCCAGCGTTGACATCTTAGGTATTTTTGTAAATATTCAGGGCAAGTTCATGATCTGAACATGAACTGACAGTATGTCCCCTAAGGTCCTTTCTCTTCAGGTAACTCTGTGAAGAGTGACTTCAGAAATGGAAGAAACAGGTTGAAATCTCTCTCCTATTATCTTTGTGTTCTCAGCTTTGAAATATTTATCCAATAAGTTAAAGTTAGATAAAGTTCAAGTTAAATACATAACTATTACTTTCTAATAATTTATATTCTAAACATATTTCTACAGAATATTTTGTACTCATCTTATGTACAAATGTAAGACAATTATGTCATGTCCTTGGGTCACACTTGCCCTTGACATTTTTCTGCATTTAGTTGTCATTTTAATGTGTGGACAGAAAAAAAACCAGATCAAATACAAGTGCCTGTGGAAAAAATGGAGGGATACAAATAGCTCTGACAGAGGACTTAAGGAAATCAGTCCAGTTTAAAGGCAACCAAACTGAAAACTTCTGCTACTCAGAGCGCTGTTTATTGTTTTCTAGAGTAAACACATTTAAAAAAAAAATCTGGGTTTGCAGAATCAATACTGCACTCAAAAAACTTAGTGCAATTACTTTCAAAGGATAAAAGGACTCTCTTGTAACTATAACCTCTTTGCTTTGTGTCCTCCTTGAGATGCACAGGACGAAAGTTATCATGAAGACCTAGTTGATATGCATAGCAGAATGATCTTTTCTGTGAGTTATTGCAAACTTTGCACTGTTTACAGTGTTATTTATATCAAAGCAAGAGTTCAAAACTCTGGGTAGGAACAGATTATCTCTCCATCGACTGTAACATTAACATTTGTTTCAACAGAACTTTTTGCAAAAACAAGGTTCTTTTCACAGAGCAGCAGTGAGCAAGTTCAGCATTAACAAAATTAGTTTAGAAAGTTCCTTTCATTTTCTTAGAATCTGCCAAACTGCGTAATTGGGGCTCTGCATTTCTCCTGTAAAAGAGGATGTAATGGATCCCTGATTGACAAAAAGATCAACCCTCATTACATATAATTCAACTACTGCAGGAAAAGAACATTTTGAACTATAGCCTGGCAGGTGTGCAAATTAACTGAATTGCAGTATGTAACTGTATATGGCATTTCAAAAAAAAAAAAAAAAGGAAAAGAAAAAGGATTCTCACATGAGATGTCATCAAAGCATCTGGTTGCACAGAAAGGGGAGAGGAAAGAAAAGTAACAAGAAGCAGCCTAGAAATTGGGTAGGGATAGTCTAGTGTTTGGAGGGAAGGACAGAGGAAGAAAGGAAGATTAAGATGCATGCTAAAGAGGGTAGGAACAGAGGATCAGTTAGAGCAAAGTGTTCATTATGCTATAGTTAAAATCAATATGGAAGAAAGAATCATGAAGAGATGCTGAAGAGGCTGCTAAAGCCAGACTACAGGCAGCTGGGAAGCACAGAAAGAAAATGGGGAACGACACAGAATCAGTGAAAGTAGTCAAGATGATCAGAGTCTGGATCCAAGAGCTGTACCAACACACCACTAGAGAAGTGGACTATAAAGAGATCAACGTATTTGACACCTTTCAGACTACAGAGCGCTAACACACATGTTGATTGTCGTCCCTAACATAAGAGCTGTTATACCAAGATGTTCACTACAATACTATCTTTTACTGACCGAGTCCTGAAATTACTCCTGATTTTAAAGTTACACGTTTCATCTTAACACACACACCCTCTTGTAGCCAGGCTATTATCTACTGTATGCTTTCCCTCAATGCACAAAGTGTTGGTGCTGACACAGGAACTGCCTGCTAGAATTTGCTGTCACAGACCACATTCTGAACACATGCACAGTGAACTTTTCTACAAAAATTAAAAAGAAGAGGTAGCTGATCCCCCTATAATGTGATTTAACTTAAGGAAGAAAGAAACAAGGAGTAACACCACAGGATTTGGACTATCCAGGGGAATATACAGAGTTCACTATTTCTTTCCAGACTGCACCGCTCATAGATGCGGCTCAGGTCTGGTCTAGGTGATATACTTGGACTACCTTGTAGACTGGGCCATGGTGCCACCCTGTGGTGGGTGGCAGGTAGGCGGCGGCAGCGGCTGCGATGGCTGTTGGTGCTGCATGCGATCCTGGAGGCTCCGGGCTTTTCGGATACTGATTTGCAGCTTCTTATCGACTAGGGCTCTGCTGTGAGTGCTAGAGCTGGCATCATGCATGGCAAGTCTTAGTTTAGCTAAAATGCAAAAGAAAACATAGCAGAAACAAACAAACAAAACAAAAAGAAAAAAAGGAATAAAATTGGGGAAAAAAAAGAAAAAAGATGCAGCAAGAACATAAAACATGGACCATGCAAATATTGCCATGAAAGAGTTCACAAAGATGCTATTGTTTCCATTAATGCACATTCAGCTTAGCCATGTGTCCAAATAAGTTAATTGAAACTAAACCAAAATGAAGTTGCAAAAAATTATTTATGTTTTAGCCAAACTTTTCATCCCTCTTACACAGGCTCTTTCCAATCCTACCACAATGCTACCTTATTCTTCATCCATCTTCCTCCTGTATCTGGGACTTCCTTTACATGTAAGGGTATCCAGTTGGGATCTGAAATCCAGCATGTATCTTGTTGGAACAGAAGCTAATATAGCTTTCACAATAGCTACACATTGTCCCTTAATCTGCAGCTCGTGAGAGCCAATTTCTAAATGCAAATGCACACAGTAACTACCCACTCTGTCTGCAACTATTTCTAATCTGTACAGACAGGGAGGAGCATGGGGTGAGATAGCCAGCCAATCTTAACGGAAAAAACTGAAAATAAAATGAAATCACATAGCACACATTCCCAAAAGTCAAAGAATGCACTTAGCACTTCAGCATCCTGATTTTCTTTTTTTCCAGAGATTTAGGTACAGCATAGCTCATTCCTCTCACTCTGGAAGACTCAAGAGAGGGCTACCTACCCTTTTCTTCCTATGCTACACCCTCCAAGAGGACAGCGGAACTTAGTCCCATTTGTAACTCAGCCTAAAGACTGGAAACAATTGTGAATTGAGGGCACAGCGGCAGAAAGAGTTACCTACCAGGTACTTACTGAAATGCACCTATTTGCATCAAAGGACACATCAGCAACCCAGTGCTGTCGCTATCATAGCGCTGAAGTAAGCGACATAAAGGAACGCTAATACAAAAAAGAAAGAGGATGAAGGGAAATGGGACTAAAATCCCCAAAAGGGAACACTTGAAAAAGGAAAGAGTCTGTCTCCCAGCACTTTCCTAAAGATTAGCAGGATCCCCATGTTACCACCTGACACTTTAAGGTGATTCAACGTTACAGACTTTTTTCCTGTGATATTAGTAAACTGTCAGAAGCGCAATAGCTTAGGCGGTTAGGGTTACTTACATATAGCTTCGTTACAGAGAGCCAAAGCTGCAGCACAATCCCCCTTCTGCTCCTGATTCAGCGACTCTTCAAAGATTGAGTCTGCCTCCTGCATGGACTTCTCAAAGCCTTCAGTCCTCCCTGCAACAGGCAGCACCCTTCATTTTGTTTGCATTCTTCGTAGAACCCTCATCCCCATTTGTGTGCACCAAATTCTTCCACAAATTGAGTCACTGATGGAGGCCTCCCACAGAGGCTGCATATATCCCAGACCCCCTACGGCAACATCTACACTTCACTAAATAGAAGTGCAAATAGAGCACCCTGACATGCTTAAGTCACACAAGCACACAGTATGAGCTGATATGTGAACGAGATTTTTTCCTCAAACTTTGTTTACTTGAGAGGGTGGTACTGGCTTAATATGTTGTTTTCAACAATCTAAACTGGTACATAAAGATGGTATGGACATACCACTGACTCGATTCAGATTACTTTACTTCTGTCAAATACAAGTTAGCCTGAAGTTATAATGATATCCAAACCAAAATGAATTAGTAAAAGAAATATAGCAGGTCAGGTCTTTCCTGGAACTGCACTATTACAAGTCCTCTGCCAAAAATCATCTGTCTCCTCTCCAGCTATCCAATTACTTCCGTACCAAAGGTCTTCCATTTGAAACACCTGAGATGCCCAGGGGACAATACTCAGATTTGAGCGTGAGTATAAACGGCTGCAAGACACTCTTCTACAAACATGTATTAAGTGCATACACTCACTGCTGAACGAGGCATTACAGAATATGAAAGCACAATGGTCTTGCAGCTTTCGGAGGAAAAACGCAAGGGGAAGGAGCTGAGAAGAAAGGGTTAACACAGTCAAGAATTCTTTGGTCAACAATTTAGAAAATAGTGCTGGAGAAAAGGATAAATCATCTTATGCCCTGGCATAAGAACATTCCCATTTTGAGACAAAGAAAATGCCCAGTCTTGTGTCACTTATTAGGCACTACACAAGTCATAGAGTAAAACGTATGAGCTCAAACGAGGCAGAGCTCGTTTAAAAAAAAAAAAAAAGCTTTATTTTCTAAGTTCTCTGCTGTTATAGTAGAGAACATGAATAATCTTCTCAGTCAAAAAGAAAGTATGCTTTTTCAACTTGCATAACACATATGCTATGCCCTAGTCTGCTCCCCAACCCCTCATGCACATACACAAATACAAACTCTTATTCCATGAACCCCGAAGAACTCTTATGAAAAGCATTTACTGCAGAGAGAAATGAGAGTTGTTAGAGCAGTGAGTCAATTAAGCAGTACCTCCAGTTTCAAAATCAAGACTACCGAGGCTCATAATCAAGACAAGTATAACTAAAGTTAGCTTTGCATGAATTTAGCAATTTACTTGAAGGAAATGAGTCAGAAATGTTCTGGAGTTCTGTGTACAAGCAAGCCTTCCAGGCAGCCTAGCAGTCTGATAATGTTAAGCTATTATATCTGACTGGGGCGTGGAGAGGCTTAGCAGGAACAAATGAAGACCTTCCCCACTCCCAAGTCAATGACTAATAAACTCGTCAAACCTTCTATTAAAATCTTATTGAATTTTAAGCATTATTCTAGTTCATTTGCTTTTTAATGAGGAAGAGCTAACCAATCTTTGCTTCTACCAATTAGCTCAACATGAGCTCAAAGGGGAATGTCTGAGAGAACTATGCTGCTATCTCGTGGCCAGGGGGAGTGGGGAAGACAATGCCCTTGCGCTCAAGAACGGAGGTTAAATTTTCAATTTTTAAATCATTAACATTTATGCCACAAAAACAAACATAACTACTAATTAAAAGGTATCTGTCCACTTTGGTAGATCAGAACTTTTCAACTGGTTACTTGCAGGTCACAGCAGGACCATAAGAGATAACCAAGCAGCTCACTGACAGCCAGCAGAAGTTATAAAAACATCTCCAGAGCCGCACGTTCCCATGGAGATCACATTTTTCAGCAGCCATTGATACAGTGGCATTGCAGCTGCTGAGCAGCTGGCAGGGCTGTAGGCTCCAGAGCGCTGGTGTGATCGGGAATGACCTCGAGCTGGCGTTGCTGTGGGTACGTACCACTCTCAATCCTCCCTCGGCCCTGTAGCACGCAGGCCCCTCAGCTCCTAAGGTCCTCCCCTACCGCAGCAGGTAGGACCAAGTAGCAGGACCCCAGGAGGCCTAGTAACACAGCAGCGCCCAGGCCACAGTGACTCCACAGGTTTGCCCCACTCCTTTTCATGCATTCGTGACAACAGAGTCTGGGCGTTCACAGCACTTGCCTTGCCTCTGCTGACCCACCAAGAGCCCCAGCGTTCAATTCTCTGCCAGGCTTCAGGCTCCACGCTCAGCTCTGGCAACGTACTTCACCCAACCTCTGCTGAGACTCCCCTTACTGGCCGACAGCACCTGGGAGACCGAGGGCTACAATGAAGGCACTACATGTGAATCCTGTCATCAAGGTCCTTCTGCCTCCGCTTCCTTCTTCCAATTACACCTCCTTTTCTGCCGCTGCTCCCTGCCAGTGTTGTGAAATGAAAGAGACAGATTCTTTTAATGTTTGCCTTTTATTTCCTTTTTTCTATTCTGGTCCCTTAGGAAAGATGCATACGCTAAACCCTGTCCTGACTTCTGACATTAGTCCCAGCAGTGGGAATTACAAGGGCAGGAACAAGTAGAATTGATTAGGCCAGGATACTGCCAGAAAGAAAGAGAAATAAAACCACAGTCTAATCAGACAAGCTCTGCTGTGGGTGGACCTAGAGAGTCTGAAAAGGACAAACTGCCCTACTCTTCTCAAGAGGCTGGTCGGAGCCTTACAGCAAAATCTTGATGTCAACATTGGTAACAGTGCACATCACCACATAAAAATGAAGAGGTGCAAATATAGTAGAAATACCTCTGCAAAAGGCAGTTTTACTTTGCTGTCTCATTTAAGACATAAGCTGGTCAAAATATAACATAGTCTCCAGTCCTCAAATACAGTTTTCTGCATACTACAGGGTTGAAATGGATGTTTTTCACTAATCAAAGATACAAAATTGTACTTGGGGGGGGGAGGGGGAAGAGAGGGACAGACATGCAGAGGCAGACAGACAGCTGCAATAGAAAAATAGAAGTTCAAAGTTTCAAAAAACTTCAGCATTACAATCCTGCAAAACATACTCCATTCAAAAAATTACCCTGATTCTGTAGTTCATCTAGATCCATAAACCTGCTGGGACGGGGATTAAAGCCCATTGCCGCCTCCATTTCCTTTTCTCGCTTCCTACGTAGTTCTTGCTCCTGCGCTCTCCTTGCCACCTCCTCTTGTAATTCATCCAGTTCACTCTTTAATGGGACAAGCATCTCACCACCTTAAAACAAACAAAAAAAAGGTTATATTTGATAGCAAAAAATAGCAAAACTCTTAAAGTTTGTTTTTTAAATATGTAGTTCTTCTATAATGGTACTTTTTCTTTTTTTTTACATCACTTTTCAACTTTTCTGTAAGCTTATTTTAGAAAGAGAATAAAAAGAAACACAAGACTGACTAAATAGCACCTGAAGAACATACAAACTAGCAAAACAATGACTAGAGTATACTTATTTTATTCACCGTATGTGGGTTAAGGTTTTTCTGAGGGAGCAGGATAGCGCTCCAGTGTCATTCAGTCAGTGGCTACAGAAACCCCTATTTTGACACAACAAAAAAGATGGAAAAAACAGCACACGTGAGTAGCAAGGGAAAGCCTTATGCTGACTTAGCAATATTCATGGAATTAAGTCTTTTACTCCAATTTGTGGTTTTAAAGATCTCCCTCTATGTACTTCAGACTTGGACGAGACAGTTCAAGTGCTCTCAAACGGTTTAGTTAAATGTGTATTTTATATCAACCTGGTAAAAACAAACAAGGTTATACGGGACTAGGTTAAAAGCGTGGGGAGGTTGGTTTGTTTTGTTTCTAACACTAAACTGGACCCATATTAGGGAGCTATATTGTTTCACCTGCACTGGTCTCTACCTGATAGCAGCAAATGGATGAAAAGAGCTGTGCATATCCAACAAAATAAAAAGTAACAATAATTGGGAAGAATACACTAGAAAACAGCAGGTTGACAGAGCAAAGACCATGGAATTTCAGATCATAAATTCTGCTTTGTTAAATTTTACTTTAAAAACCCAGAAGACGACAAATATGAATGTAAGTACAAATAGCTTTTATAAACAATCAAGACCATCTGTATGCTAACTCACAAACTTCAACTATGAGCTTGAGTATCATCTAGGATACAGTCTTGATATCAGTACATCCAGAATTCCTATTGATAAATGTTGATGCTGGTTTTATCATTAAACCTCACTGGAACGCTCAGCAGAGAAACGACACTGTCCACCTTTTACAGCTCAGAGCTATTGTGAACAGCATACAGCATCTTCCTGTATTATAAATACATGGTTAGCTTAAATATACAAAGAAGTGCTCCAAGTGCACCTCAAGGTTGAATTTTTTAAAGCATATTAATAAGCAATGCAAAACAAAATTGAATAGTTATAGTTAGAAAATCCCAATTTATTATGCTCAAGAAAAGATTTTTTCCCCCTTCTCCAAAACTTTTACTCAATTACTAGTTGTATCTTGCACACTTTGATACAAATTTTACAACACTGTGCCAGAATCTCCCCTTCTCCCTGCCCCAAGCAATCTGGTCTCCACTTGCCTCCTCTGTATTACCGACTCTGGTAGAAATGCTGCAGTATTGCTCACAGCTCCCCTGCAGCACAGCCTGTCCCTGAATCCACTGACCCAAGAAACAGAGAATGGAACAGAGAGAATCATCTGAAGAGAGAACCCTACATTGATGCCAAAACCTTGAGGCTTCTTACAGTGTTTGTAATTTGTAAATAATGTTATGCGCCAAGTTAGCAGATCATTAGCTTTGGTAAGTAAAAGGGATTCCAATTGAATCTGCGTAAGCCGATGAAAAGGAAAGAAAATAATCCCTTATCAGTTTCCCCGATGCAGCAAAAAGCAGTTTTAGTGCTTCAACTATGGCATGTATTCAAAAAAGTATCTCCCCTCCTCCCCTTCCTGCCCTTTCCCTTCTGCCACACCACCTCTGGAATAAAATATTTCCTCAGAAAGATAAACAACCAGAATGCATATCTGCAGAAAAGCTCAGCTTCAGCTCAATCGTCTCGTAACTTATCCACTCTCATTTCTGACACTTTTGAATTTTGTAAGCCATTATGAGCTTCTTTTCAAGCTTTGTCCTACTAAGTTATCATGAGTTATGTTTGGGAAGATATTTTCCACTGATGGTAGAATACTGAATTATGGGAAAGACAACTTCACTGTATCAGTTAAGCCAATGTTCAAAACAAGATGCTAGAGCAACATGACCAAAGGAAAATTCCAATAAAGTTTTTCCAAATTCTTCTGGTAAACTGAAGTCATATCTTGCAAAGTTGCATTATATTCCTTAATGCTTATTTTCCCTTTCCTATAATTTCACTGTGAAGATAAGCATGCAGAAAGTAAAAAACTCCTCCAACACAATTTATCTTGCAGAACCACCACCGCTGAAGTGAGAAAATACATTTTACCATTTCCAATGGGCTGCTGGCTGTTTGCCCAACTCCCAGTTGATGAAGTAGACTCCACTTCCAAGATGCTACTACTGTGAGACTTTGGGATGTTACGCCAGGCAGGAACCAATCCGCCAGCTCGCTTCATATGGCCATCCCTCCAAAAAGAGAGTAATTACAGTTCATCATCTTATTAATCTTTTCCGGAGAAGTGAACTCTACATTTCTGAGCAGCACAAAAATATTTGATTTAACTATCACAGCTTCATGGAAAAAAAATTAAAGGCTACCACGGGAAAACCTTGGGAGAAAGAGGAAGAGAAAAAAAACAGGGAAGAGGAGGAAGAATCTAATCCCCTCCATATGTTGAATTTTCCGTATTTTATTCTCTTTTGATACTGCAATCTCTGCAAGTCCCTACAAGCACCTTCCTTTTCTTCAACACAAAGTGTGATCTTCAGTCATACACCCGATACAAAAGAGGTAATAAAAATTGCAAAGTCTCCCAAACATCTAGCTTTTCTTGTTCATTTGCTACATACCTTAATCACACAAGAGTATGAGAAGTCATGAAGAAAAGAAGCCTGGTAAGCATGCTCCCCCTTCAGAACAGTGTTTGCAGGTATGCTACTCTTTGCTATTTACCACACATACCATTTGCTTAAAATCCTCACAGTTGACAATTTTGGAACTTGATGGAAAGTCCCTACTAAACAGAGCACTTTGATTTCCTTGGGAGGACATGGGAAGTAGTGAATATTAAAGATATATTCTAACAGCTGTTATCAACAGATTCTTGTACCTGCTCCAGCCTTAAATAGTTTTAGATTACGACAGTCACAGCTGCCAGAGCCAAGGTGAGAAACACATTGTGCTATCTATTTATTTTTGCATACTAAATACTGCAAAAGCCTTGCAAGTCTTCAGTGAAGCTGTCAAACTGAAAAGGTCAAAGATTTCCCTACAACGCCACCCATTTCTGATTTTGTACAAGGATTCTACTAGCAAAGACTTAAATGAAACAAAAGAACAGTCAGCTGTTCAGATGAGAAGTGAAGTTTGATATCAAAGTTGATTTTTTTAAATCATAGTCTAAAGGTACAACTCTGTTTTAGATGCATCATTTTAGCTAACATTTCTCATTCAATCAAATTCCATTTCTTTTTCTTCTCACTGTCAATACAGTAATAAGAAAAGGAGTCAAAGTTGCTCAGATTCCTACTACCTTTCTATTTTTCCCCTGCCCAAAAAAATCCTGCATCACAACCTAGGATCATTGTGGTTTTGGTTTTTTTTAAAGCACTCAACAGCATTACATAGCAACAACAAAGAAACAAAACTTTCACAAATGAAATTTGCTAAAATCTACCTGTGGGTGCTTGAGATTTCAGACAAGGGCGTGTCCAGACTAACTGGGCTGTTGCTGTTGCGTTCGCTGCTCTCATAGCCAGACTCCATCCTCTGTATCAGATGAGGATGCTGATCCACCGTATGTTGCGTGCCCCGGCCAAGCACACCACGCTTATATCTGACGTTTGACTGGCTTGGTCTCGTTTCTTGAATAGCACGTTCCTTCACCTCATTCTCCATAAGCTCTTTACCTGTCAAGATAAAAGAACACAGCTCAGTAGAAGATCCAAACTTCATTCCAGCAAATTATTTACTCACACTTTAGCTTCTCAATTATGCTTACACCCGAAGTGCTGCCTTTTGCTAATTTTACCTGAACTTAGAAGCAGCGGGGGGGGGGGGGGGGGCTGTGTTAGCATTCCTGACAACATTAAGCAATAACCTATTCAACAAATTTATTTCTGAATCTCTCCCATTTAGTATAAAAAAATAAAAAATAACTTGCCATATTTCATTTATGCAGAAGAGTAAGAATCAAATCTGGAAAGGAAAAGAAATCCCTTCCTCTCCATAACAATTTGTATTTGTGCAAGATCATTTTATAGTATAACTCAACTGTACCAATAGTCTTCTTGGTTTATATTTGTTATTGTACTCTGCCATAACTACTTCAGACGTTGTACTTTTTACATCGTTTAGTTTGCCATTTACAATTTGATGAGGTTCACATAACATTAGCTCATATAAGTCAGGAAAAGTGGTTTTTGTCCCCTTCTACCCTTGCTGATTTTAATGTGTTCCTACTTGTCTCTTTCTGCTTTACTCCCCTTGCTTACTTTCCTGGAGCTGTGTTCTCTCCTCCACTCATCTTCCCTACGCGTATTTCTTTACACTTCTCAATTCTCTTCAACCTTTACCTCCTTCCAGTCAGTCATCACTTGCCCTTCCCTCTCTCTAGGCCCCCAAATTTCTGCAGCTACACCCCCATTAACCACAAACCTACTGCCAGTCACATAAACCTCTTCTTTCTCATCCGCACCCTGTCCAAGCACCACAGGAAAGGAGCATAGCAACTCCAACAGCATAACAACGTGTATGACGTGAATTGGGAAATATCTGCTCTCTATACCCTTTACAGTTTCAGGAGTAAACCTCCTCTTGACAGGGAGCAAAATACCACTATACATTTTGCAGATCAGAGGAAGGGAAGTGAGGGGGCTGTGGCAGGGGAGACAAAGATGCCCAAAGTTGTTCACAAAAGATTTCAGTACCTTCAAAAACTGCAAAACTGAGGACAAAGTCTCTACATACAAGTCGCATAGCTGCTGCGGTGCAAAATGGTCCCAGATAAATTATCATTCGCTGCCAGGCTCTTATCCTCACGAGAAGCACTCGCCACTAACACACAAGGTACTCATCTCCCCACAGTCTGAGACGTCATGCAACAGACGCTATGATGAGCCAGAAGAACTTGATACCAAACAAAAGACCACTCCAAGCGATGAACTTGTAGATACTGAGCAGCCTAGCCCAGGGTCCATTTAAGTAGTACAGACAGTAATGTTTCTCCTACTATTTCCTTAAGTGAGGAATTTAACAAATAGGAAAACAAACAGAAATACACCTGCAACATGAATATCCGGCACAGAAACTACCCCTCAAGGACACGATTCATCACTGACCTAAATGCTATGTTCAAAACGTCACTCTCCTATTTCACTTAAACAAAAGGAGAGAGTGGGAAAGTTATAAATTCCACACATTAAAATACTCTGAAATAAATCTTTTTCTCAACCTCTTACCTGCATCTTCAGAGAAGGGGCTAAGCTGGGTGTAGCCACAATGTTTCCTCTTATCCTTACTGAAGATGCTGTCTATGTTCAGAGACTCTCTTTTGGGTCTCCAGGTTGGCCGGTACCTGCTAGATGAACTAGATTTAGATTCACTGCTGGTACTCTCCATTTCCCAGTCTCGAGAACGTGCAGACAGGCTTTTTGAGGGTCGTGGTTCTGCCTGATCCATACCACTCCCTCCACGAGGAGAATTCTGGTTGGTTTGAGAAACCTGCTGTGGTCTGCTGTGGATCATATTGCTGACTGTCTCTTTAAATTCCCTCAGTCTGCTGGTGCTGCTGGATGGTTTGGGGGCAGTTCTGGGGGCTTGTTTCTCCTTCAAGGTTTCTCCTGCAGATTATAAAACAGATAGCAAAGCAACAAAAATAACTTCAGATTAAACTAGCAGACCTATTTACAGCATCTTTCTGCAGACTTAGAGAAGTAATACAAGCAAAAAATAGACCAAAACACAGACACAGAAACATGAAATAAGGAGAGAAATGCACATAAACACTGACGATCCGAAAAGCAAGCAAAAAGAGATACTGATATTTGAAACTTAAAAAACAAAATCCCTTGCCTTCACTATGGTATCCTGACGACTGCGCCTCATCCCCTTTTCGCCGAGACCGGCTAGAACTCCTTTTGCGCTCTGCCAGAGAGCCCTTTTTAGAAATATGCCTCTGATTACACTCACTGTCAGTCAGGTGTCCTGAAAGGATAGAAGAACACAGTTTAGACGACGAGAGCCCTTGGACTGAGTGTTCTGTGCGCTAAGAATAGTTGGGCTCTCCTGCTTCTCAGGAGCTGCAGACACTCCAGTGCTAACTGCCAGTTTTTGGTAAATGAACCTTTTGCTTTAAATAATGTATATCCAAAAGTTTTTGGTTTTGTTTTCAGATTTTGTTTGTTTGTTTTAAGTCATAAAAGAGCAATAAGGCCCCTCCAAGGACTCCGATTAATGAGAGAGGTCATTCACAGGGAGAAAAAGTAGACTGTGCCTTGTCTTCTAGCGCTCTAAGAACAGCATTTTCTTGCTGTCTGAACGCTCTTACCGTTTTAACCGCCATGGACACAAACCTCCCGAGCACAGTTTCCTTGACACTGTTTTGTTCAGTGAGGGCTCAGACACACAAACAAGTTACCATGTAATAATATATTACTGCACATCATCAGTTGCTCTGCACTCTCCATCTGCACTCTCTTTGCCTGTAGCAAATACTAAGTAATTCAAGGTAGCTTAGTCTACAGTGAAAGAGCCTCAGTTGGCTCTCGAGGGCTAAGCCAGCCAACTCAACTCTGCCACAAGCTAAGAGCATACACACAAACCATCAGCATGGACCAGCTGACACTCAACCACGTTCCCTTACTATAGCTCATAGGCCCAGGTCCTAATATTTTCCCTTGCACAGAATTTATTCCCTTTTTCCATGCATCGAATGACAATTGATAAAGAGTATTTAGACAGGTATGACAAATTTTCTGTATTACCATTTCTTTCCTTAATTTTATGGCTCTCACACATTCACAATCCTTAACCTGCAAGCACAAACACATTCATGACTTTACTCACGTGAGCAGTCCAAAGCAGAGATGCAGGATAAGAAGGGAATTTATGAATAAGCTACAAAGACTATCATTTATACCACCAGCTTTTACCTTGCATAGGATGGTAACAAGTGAAAATCTTTACTACCCAGTAGCTGATGAACAGCCCCCAGACTACAATGTTGGTTGTTCTGAGCCTGCCCCCTTCTCTAGGAAGGCCATATCATAAAAATAACATAAAACACAACAATATTTAAAGTAGATTTTTACAAATAAAATTCTAACTTTGAGGTATATAAAAAAGTAAGGAATAATTCACTTCAACTATGGTTGCTACAAAGATACAATACACAAGTGGGAAGGAATCCAATAAACAAGAAGCAAGCAAGCAACACAAGACTTGCGTTTCTATTCATTTTTGAAATGGAGAGTGATTTTGTAGTTCAGACTCCTTAGGAACAAATAGACTATATGAAAGTAAAGAAACTAAGGAAATAGCAAGAGAAACGTTGGCAGTAAAGATAGGAAGACGTAACGCATTTAGATGATTGGGCATGAGTCAGTCAGTACTTTGGGAGAAACACTTCCACAACACAGACTGTCACGTATCTTTCATGGACTGAAAGAACATCGATATCTTGTACCTTGTAGCAGTTCCCATCATGGGAAAGGGAGCTTATGTTTCACTTAAGAGTGTAAAACTTCTCTAGTTAAACTTTTTCCCCTCCCCACAGTTCTTTCATCCTGAAAGGAGTGCTTGGTTAGCATCTTTCAAGTACTCTAACAGAAGCTGTTTAAAGATATTTACTTCGGCTGGAGCTAAGGCACTCTACATACACTGGTTAAAAAACTCAACATAACCCTGTGGAATGAAGGCTGCTAGCTTTGTTAGTGTTTTCTCCTCCTTCCATAATCTGCAAATTTTGTCATATATGTTGCTGAACATTTAATAGCCATAGACAAGACGCCAAGAATTAAAAGCCTGCAGAACACAGGCTATGCTGTTTTTAGCTGAACCCCTCTGGAATAAAGTCTAATCCCAGGTAATGCACGAATAGAGGAATTAAATCTCCAGAAACATTAGCTAACAATTTTACTCATTTTGTTGGATTGACTAAAATAACAAGCCAGGATTTCTCTCTGAGTGCCTAACCACACACATACAATGCATCCATTGCTGAATGCATTACTAAGTACCTCACACTCCAGGGGTGGGATGGCTTCATGAGCAAACAGTAATATTCAAAGGAAAGGTTTGGTTTTGTGAGGTTTTTTTGCAGGAGCGGATAGGGTGGGAGAACATGTCAGAAAAGGGAATGAAATCAAACAGGTTAAGACAAAAGTCCCCTGCCCCTCCCACTGAGATCTCAGATGTATAAGTAAGGCAGCCAGAATACGCACATTTTTCTCAGCAGCAGAGGTTGGTAGGAGCAAGAGAGGGCTTATGCAGCCACTCTTAATGCCCCCATCCTGAAGTACCCAGGTGCCTGAGGTCATACAACCCAACGGTGGTCCTTCCCAGGAGCATGATGTGATGGGATAGGGTCCATACAATTCTGGGCTGGAGGAGCGGGGTAAATGGCCATTAAATGAAGAAACCTGCTCTTGCCCAGAATGATTTAATAGCAGCAACAGTTGACAGTGCTCAGTGTGGATGGCTTTTTTTTTTTTGTTGTTTTGTTTTTTAAAACAGCCCCATGGATTAGCATTTGATGACTGAGCAGTTGTAAGAGTTGGCAGACTGACTTCTTCGGAAAGGTGAAAAAAGGGTAGGTGAAGAAAAGGGGAAATGCTCAGACAGGTGGCTAGCTAATGGGCACGGACCAACTACAGCTAAGGCTGAATCAGGGAAGATGAGGTTTACTGAAGTTAGGTGGTGAAAGATGGGCTAGAGCTGAAGGGAATAAGATATGATAGAATCAGCAGGAGGAGAAAGAAAAAGAAAAGGAGAAAGTCACTAGAAATATAATGGAACAAAAAGTTACATGCTGAACGTCACCTGCATACATGCTAGCAACCATCCCTCAACCCTCTTTTCTGCTGTCTTCTGCATGGCAAGTTTTGCAGGGAGGGACGTAATCCAGTAATGTTTCTTGCACTTTTGCAGACTACATAAATAATAATTCACCAGCATTTTCAATTTTGTCTTCTCAGTGCTCTTAAGATCAACATAAATTTTGTTTCTTCATCACTCTCAAATTCTGCTCCAACTTTCTCTTCTTTCTCGTGCTCTATCTAGAGCTATGACTGGAAGCTAAATATTGATAAAACATTAAAATTATCTTCAGGCTACCTAAAGCCATGGATTATCAGTTACTCGGACCTCTGATGAAGAATGAAAGAATGCTGAAGAAAACCTATTTGAAACTGCTTTTTTCCAGGTTTCAATATGAAAAATATTTGTACTATTGATTGTTTCCAATGAACCAGAGATGGACATACTGTTACAAGACAAGAGAGCAAATATTTTCCAAGCAGAAGGACAACAACGCGGTGCGACAGCTGGAGACGCTCTGCTTCAGCAAGCAGTTGTCCTCTTAGAAAGTCTTTTTAAGGATCAACAAAGCAAATTTTTGACTAAATTTAGCAAGTCAGATTTCTGGTGCTTAGAAAGTTTTGATCTTAACTGGTACACTACTTTTTCAAAAGTAATGGTGTAAGATAGCACTGAATGTATAAACAGGCTGACTGGAGTCATTGGACATGAATAATAGAGCAGACCTAAACCTTCAGATTGCCAGTTAACCTCTTTTCAACTACAAAGTCTTTGGGTAGACTGTTCAGTTGCCTGAAGGAACATAAATAGATAAATTCTCTTCCCATTACAGAGTCTCATTTAATTTGTCTCCACAGCACAGGCAGGAAATCATCTTATGCTCCCCACTAGTGCAGTAAATACTACTAGCACCCACTTACATACAAAGTCCTTAGTGCCCAAGTAAGGGAGACGCAGGTGATGAGAGCACCTTTCCCAGATGGCCACAACTCCTGAAATGAAGTAACTGCCCATAGAAGAGCAAGTAGCCCACACAACACGTACTGACAGCAAACTACAATGGCACCATACAACAGATTCCAAGCTACAGAATTTTAGGTGCCAGAATTTCAAAGAACAGGTGGGATGGTGGCTAACAATAGTGAGAGATACAGTAAAGACCCGAGGAAATGCACCTATTTATATTTTTGCCTGGCTAGATACAAGTCTACAAAAGCCCAAAAGACAATTAAAATTACACCTACCTTTGTGAATACTATGGTTCATTACAAACTAAACCAAAAACATTTAGGATAATAAAAACTGTTTACTATTCTGTTCTGGGTTGTATGTAAAGAAATTTTTCACTGAGTTAATCTGTAATCATACAATGACAATGATTACATCAATATAATGGTATCTGCTACCTGTGTCCCTGCTGCTCTGTGAAGCTGCGTCATTCTCCACATTGTAGATGACTGTCCCCTGCGAGTCAGAAGAGAAGCGACTGACCACAGACTCATGGTGCGCCTGTTTATAAGGATAGCTGTCTGTAGAGGAATCTGTCCTGGTGTCACTCGAGATGGAAGGTTCTCTCCCTAATGAAGGAAGTAATGTCAAATTTTAGTCTCTCTTTGGCCTACAAGTCAGGAGAGACTGAAAAAAGAAATCAAGAATGGAATACAGGAAACTCAGTAGAAGTCTAACAGAAAAACATATCAAACCCATACAAACTCACATTCAAGAAGGCTAGAGCTTATGGGAAAGGTCCTTTACTTGGAGATGGTTAAGAAAAAATAAAAGGAAACCACACACTAAAACAAAAAAAACACCCCCAAAAAACAAGAAAACAAAAAAACTCAAAACCAAAAAAACTAAAACCCCCAAGCCCAAACAAAAAACAAAAACTTTCTGTAAGCATTTATTTTTTCCTCTCTGCTGACTCCAGATTTATGAAATTTATCAAACCCCTTTATTATGCAAAACTAAACCATGTCCATCAGACTGTCAAAGTACACTTTAGTATCATACTCATGTTATTTCTTATTAACTCCTAAGTCTGTCCAATGTAATTAAAATATGAAATTCCCTACCCCACAGGTCAACCAAGTATAAAAAGATTAGGCAAGTTCAAGATATAAGGATAATAAGAACATCCTAAGTTACAATAGTTAGTAACACTTTAACTATTACGAATCAAAAGGCTACCTAATATAACTTCACACTGAAATTTTATCGGTCTAAGGCAAAGTAACATGTTCCTTCTTCAAGGAGCCAGTGCTGGTCCACTACACTAGTGGGATACTGAAACAGATCAACCGTCATGATTCAATCCCCGTACAGCTCTTCCTAAACTCATTAAAATAGGAGAAAAATACAACCTCCTCCCCCCACTTTCAGTCCCTACAAATAAAAACCTGAATAGTTTTAAAATGAATGTTTTATGTATGTGATGCATACACCCCTGAATATACAAGCTGTTCATTTTCTACTTGTGTCTCAGGGAAGGAAAAAAAAAAAAAGAAGAAATTAAAGAAGAAATTTTTTTTTTATTTTGAAAACACTCAGCTTGATAGTGCTCCCCATTTTCTGTGGAAGCAAGTCTTGTAGTTGATGTCCTATTTCAGGAAACATAATGGCTCCTTCCTGGTTAAAAGTCTTACTGGTCTAGTGAAATATAGAATACAGCTGTTAGAGGAGATGGCAGTCACAGAAAGAAAGGGGAACGCAGACAACAGGAATTAGTGCTGTGGAACTGTCTGGCTACCAGAAAACAATTTGTAAACTGAACTCTCTAGTCAACAGAGCACCACTAATATTAAGAAGAGTTGTTTGCACTTTGCTTCACAGCAGCTTTGACAAGCTTTCCTCTATAGCTTGTGGTATCAGATCTTGGTGTGATGAGATTCATTTATTAGATCTCCTTCATATAAGTTCAGAAACAAGACTGTGATTAACAACTTAAAAATAAGCAAGTTTTATTCACTTCTGAATTATGCGCTGAGGCTATCTGGTAACACTGAAGAGACCAGAAGAAGCTGCAGCTGCACTTAGTGAAAGGCAAAAAGGCCATTTTAAAGAGATGAATTAGGGTAGAAAGTTCCTTGAAGCACTTTCTTCCAATACTGTTATTAGGCTGCCTGGATTCAGCTTTCACCCATGCTTTTCCACTCACGTGCTGATGTCAGCCGGATATCAACAAGGCTAGAAAATAAATTCCATTTATATTTCATAGGAAGATGTGTATAGTTAGTTTTCTCTTGGCACTTCAACCTATAGCATCTTATAAATTCTCTCATCAGCTTTGTATCAGTGTTGAACACTGCAGACAACATGAGTAAGCCTTAAGGGACTCACCAAGTCTATTTTTGAGATGAAAGAGCAAGTTACTCATTACAACCTTCTGAGTTTCATCTGAAAGGAAACACCTCTTTCATATTTTAACTTTTTTTTTTTTTTTTTTAAAGTATACATTCATCCTCAAAGCTGCCTGAAGTCATTTCAGGACACAAATAATATTAGATACTGCAGTGATGTCGAGCAGAAGGGTTTATCTATGTATTTCCTGCAGGCCAACCAGCAGAGCAGCAAGGCCAGTTAACAGCATATATAGACCTGAAGGCTGCAGAAGTGCTCACTACTGCTGGATAACACAGAAGGCCCTCCTCTCCCCACTCCAGACTTCCGAGTTTCCTTCTGAACAGGAAAATAAGTTCATAAATTGCAAAGCATCTTTTTCAAGTGACAAGTGAAGGTCTTCTTACTACTGTTTCTGTTTGCATTTATTTTAAGAGGGGTTGCAGATTTCTTACATTATTAGCAGACTGTCAACACATAACTAAGGAGACAGCAGATGTTCTTTACAGATTCATCAACCAGGAAACAGAAGGATAGGACAGTTGGCTGTGGCCAGGAAAACCATAAAATACTCTGGGAATTACAGTTGTATAAATAGGCTAAATTCCTGGAAGAAAGGTGTTGTATTTATGGTTTTAATCTTGCCTTGTTTTTCTTGGCGGCCTATAAAACCATCTTTTATACAGGATATTTTCTGCAAACATCCAAAAATAGAAAAAAAAAATCTTCTTTTGCAAAGCCATTACAATATAAACTCACACCCAGTTTCTGTTCTTCCATCTATGTGAACTGCAATTAAATCTTTTTATCAGAATGTATCTATCCCTCTTTAAATGACGCCACAACCTCAGATGGTGTGACCAATGTCCAAAATTATCCAAACTTCAATAAAACAATAGACTCTTCAGATCACTACTGGTATCTTGAGCAGAATAATTTCTAACCTCTGAAGCACCTAATTTGGACATACCCTTCCAGTTCAATGAATTGCCTAAAACGCACAGAATTCAGGAAGTATTAATATGTTGAAGGCCTCTTAGATGTTAAGAGCTACACGTCTTACAGCCATACATGTTTTATGATGCAAAAGAGGCCATGCAGAATTAACAGGCAAACATGAACTGAAAGCATAAGCCCTTGCCAACCCCTTTCCCATCAGTCTTCAGCAAACGAGTCCTTATCTGTTCTGTTACTTTACCTGAGTGAAAGACAAGTGAAAGTCTAAAGATTACTTGGAATGGTTTTCTCTCAGGTTTTTAAAAGTAGTATTTCTCCCCCCTTCCCTCAACACATCCTTTGACCACCCCAGCAAAGGATGCATTTATGATGCGGCCTTCATGTTTCCTTTCCCTAACTTCCCTCCTGAATTTAAATCTGCAACTTCCTTTAATTTTTATGTGTTCATGCATCTCTGCTGCTGTTCCCTTCCTGTTAAAACTGCTGATGGATTTATGAACTTAGTCCCTGGAGTCACCAGTTGTTTTCTTCTCAGCAAGGACCACAACAGGTCCTTCTCTTCTTTTTCCAAACTTTTGTGGAAAAAAGTTTACTACCCAGACAATCAACAGAGCCTTGGATTGAAAGAGAGAGGTTCAAATTGAAATTCTTGCCCAAAATGCTAGATCAGCTTTGACAAGTGACAAAGACCCCTGCTACCAAAAACATGTCCAAAACTGAAGAAAAAACTTTTCACACATAGCATTACACTATAAAGTATAAGGCATGTAGGTCAGACTGCTCACCCGAGTCTTCACTATCATAGCAGATCCTGCTATATTGCTGTAAATCCACTTGAGGGGGCAAGTCCTGTGTTGACACTGGAGTTCCTCTTGGATCTGCATATAGCAGCAGTAAAGGCTGATAATGACCCTTAATGCACTTTGTCACAACATCTTTCCATTTTGGACCAATCTGAATTAACAACAAAAACATGCACAAGAAAAACAAGACTTTGTCATAACTTTCTATAATGAAGTCGTCTTTTTCTCCTATTTCTTTTACAGAGATTGATTTTAGACTGATGTTCTTTCTTAATTCCTTCCAAATCCAGCATTGAACAGGACTCACCAAGAAAACTCTGACTGTTGGTCACATGTTAGAAATCACTTCAAGATGCATATAAAATCTAAAATGTAACTGAAAGTACAACTGTCTCTTAAGATAGCATTTTCACGTCTGAGAAAAGTTTTATTTAAGAAAAAGGATATCATTTGTGACACCAGTTGGTCAAGGACACAATCTTAGAACAAACTGGAGACAGTTTAACTAAAAATCAAGATATTCACCATCTTACAATGAATTACAATTTCTGCTAAAGGTACATCTACAATAATACTCCTCCCCTTTCATGGACCTTTTTTTCCCCATAAAAAGCTTTTCATCTTCTGAAATATTTTAATTTTTCGTCAGTCAAAAAAAAAGGATTTGGTTAAAAAAAAAAAAAAACACAAAAACTTCTTAATCAATCAATCCATGAGCATTAACAAAATTAACAATAAAAAGCATCTTAGCAGATTTCAAGGATCAGGGCAAACTCAAGTCAAAGCTAATCACTTTGGAGTGCGACCTTTTCTGCTATTATAGAACCGCTGCAATCATATTTTCCATTTTGATAGGTTAGGCAATAATTCTTGTAGCCATATATTTACCTGAAAAAATCTTTGCCACGCATTAGGACAGGTTTCATCTAAAACACTAAAACTATTCCAACAAATTTGTTCCACACATAGATATCCTACTAAAGCACTGTAGTACCTATCTTTGGCAAGGTTTTGCTGCAGAGAGATGTGACTTTGAACAAATGGAAGGATCAGACCTCTCCGTTTGAGACTCTGCTTGGCAGGACTACAGGAGAAAATTTTCCTTTCTCATGTTTGTTCCTCTGATACAAGATGGAATAAAGGGAGAGACGGGTGAAATAAAGTCAAACAAACTAATGGGATATAAGAATGATGTGCTAAGATCCCAGCACTGGTGTCTTTAATGTCAAGGATCTCATCCTTGGTGGGGAAAAAAAGGCACTAACAGAAGAGGAGGAGAACGCGTTATAGGGAGCAATTGCTACAGAAGAGTAGGGTCTAGGTATTTCAACAAAGAACGTGAAAAGCAGGCATGCTTGCCAGCAAGGGAAAGA